ATTTTATGCAAAAACGAGCAAGTAATATTAAATCTCTTGTATCGTATGCTAATGCTAATTGATTGCAACAAAAATAATATGCTTCAATAAAATAAAATATTAATAAAATTATATGCAAAATTTACTAGAAGAACATTACTTTATTGGTGAGAAGTTTCTAATAAGCCCTCCCAGTTCCTCTGTATACAGAACAAATCTGATACAGAATTGCTCAGCCTGCATGAATCAGCCGATTTCATCAAGGAAGTTCTATTAACAACCAAGAATTAATCGTTTGAGGCATACTGAAGCATTAAGAAGGTGATATGTGTCACTATAGGAAATCATCATCGTTGCAAATATAAAGAAATTAAACATAACCCTTTGCTTCAGTACCGTCAACCTCCATGTCCATGGGGAGGGACTATTCGTCTTTCAATATATCAAAACGATATCGAATTGGACAGTGCATTGAGCTCGCGGGCAGGAAAGAACAAAATGTGCATTTTTTTCTTCAAGATTCAAAATCTTCCCTACTGGTATTAAGAAGGTACTCAAAGCAAAAAGAACTGGGTTTCACAGAGAATTCATAAATCATCGTATCAGCTCTTTTTCTTACGGATATGCAAACCGGAAAAACCGACCTATGTCGAACATCATTGAGGACATACTAACTGCACCAGCAGCTCACAGGTTGAGACAAACTGCAGGTCAAAACATCTTACTGCTAAGAGCATTCCTCTTTTTATTTGGTCATAAGGTTCTGCAGGGTTGTCCATATATGGTTATGATTGGACATTTGATAAACATCACTAGAACATTGTTTTCTCCAATTGTATCTGAAAATATGACATGATGATGACATTTTTCTTGTCGATAATTATTATAACATTATAACGTTATCCGTAGTCTGATCGAATTGTACTACTGCATATGGACGCATATCAATCGGAAATAAAGCAAAGACAGAACTGATGTGAGGGGGTTAGAAGGAAAGGGGTGTAAGTGTCTCTTCATCGACTTTCTCTTTTGATAGCCACAGCTTTATAAACAGATTTTGCGCTATATCTGCCACATAGTTTGATAAAGGAGGTTCTTATCTAGCATCCAGAATGGGAGCACTACGAAAGGCCGAATCACAGAATGCCGAATTACTAAAGGCTAAAACCACAAAAGGCCGAAATACACAAAAGGTGGTCCACTTTGTCGCTTTTCAGATTCGGGCTATTGTTAATTTGTTTTTAATAAATTAAATTACATTATTAAAGTAAAGTTACAATAATTATTATTCTGTATCTTCGTAATAAAATATAATGGAAGCTTCTTAATAGCCATTCAATTTCCGTAATGAAAATTAAAAAAAAAACTTAAAATTTGGGTAGCTTTAGTTTTATGTTTGTTTGAGTGTTTAAGAACAAGATGGTTTCGTTTTTGTGAATGCGGACAATTCAACGAGGTGACTCAGTTGTAAGAGCAGCAAGGCTGAATGAAAGTGATTTTTTTTTTCTAGATTTGTTTTCCGTCGATCTTGTTTTCCGTGCTGAGCACCAATACTACCGACGCCAGGAAGGCAGCTCCCACACCTGGACCCTACCTATCGACCCATCAACTCATGAACCGGGGACCAACGGCTTTACTTCCCTTCCGAAGGAAGGCGAGCATTTCCAGCCCAAAACGCAAACCGGTTGGTCATGAGTGTTTCCGATTTGAATGAAACATTTCTCACGTGTTCGCTGCTACTAATGGTTGCATTTTTCATTTAAATATGATTTTTTCCTCCAGAGTAACTTTTGAAAAGGGCGTATAAAAAATGGATTATTTTTTTTTTCAAAAAATCATAGCTCGAAAATTATTGATCTGATCAAAATGGCATATGAGAAAAAGTTTTAGGTAGTTAAATTATCTTTGCGGAAAAAAATACACTGAAAGAAAAACTTAGTAAATTAGTATTTAAAAAACGTAAAACGATGATTATCTCAAAACACCCCCCCTTCGATCTTTATAATTTTTTTTTGCAAGAAAACTGATAAAATGCCCTAATATTTGGTGAAGAGTGTATGCTGGTAACTTTCTTAAAAAAAAAATTATAATTTTTGAAATTTTTGTTGGTTTTTACAAATTGGTGAAATTGCATATTTTTTAGTAAAATAGTAATTTATTTGGATTTTACGCATAATTTCCAAAAATATTGCATATAAAAACTTTTTTCCTAAGTCCAGCCGTTCTCAAGTTAATGCAATTGAAAAAAATAATTATAATAATTTTCTACATTTTGGGCCATTTTCTAATGTTAGTCGTGATGTCCAGCAACGAGATGTTTTTCCATGAATATATATTAAAAAAAGACAATTTATTCTCAAATATGGTAGCTGTCAGACTTACCCGTTTCTATTCATGTGCCTTTTTTCTGTCCTCTATTAGTTGTATACCTGGATAGAATTGTGTATGAGGCTCAAAACATAAACAGGTAAACAAATATGTTATTAAACCTGTAATTGAGATAAATTCTCTAGGTACTTCTCTGACGTATACCATATTGTGCCTTAAGAGCTCATCCCGCGATATCACAACTACATAAAAAGGCACCCCGTGGAGGCTTCTTACACTCACACTTAAAAAAGTTTGCTATAATCAATTGTACCTAATGAAGATAGGTATAATGTCAACATTGTAATTATTCTGCTACATATATATATATATATATATATATATATTGGGACGATCTTCACCTGTTCCATTCAGTTCATCTCTCTTAGCGTTTCAAGTTAAAAAGCAAGTAGTTTTTTACGATGGATAACAATTTCAAGTGTTGTAAACCTCCACCTAAATCAATTTCAAAGCATGACACAGTAGCAGTTCAGTTGTTTATCTCAAAATTATTAGAATTTTTAAAGTTGCAAATAACAGTCCAAAAGTGTATTTTTATGTCAGATGGAGCAGCATCACAATACAAAAACATAAAAAAAAATTTACTAGCTTTTGTGGATTTAAAGATAAGCATAATGTAGAAATTGAATGGCATTTTTTTGCAACTTCACACGGCAAAGGTCATTGTGATGCGATTGGCGGTACCCTTAAGAGAATGGCAACCAGAGCAAGTTTAGCTAAGCAACACGAGCACCCTATAACAAACCCTTAACAACTGTACAACTGGGCAAATAGTCGTAAAGAAGATCTTCAAACAAAAATGTCATTTTTTTATGTTTCTACGGAAGAATACAAAAAGGCTGACACGGAATTTGATCCAATTTTTAAGAAAGTGAAACCAATTCCTGGAACTCAAAAATATCGTTGCTATATTCCAGTTTCAAACAACCAAATTGCAGTAAAAATATTCTCTAATTCAAACGATACACCCAAATTATTCAATGTATTCAAATAATATGAGTTGTAAAATAAAATAATAAATATATACTGTTTTTTATCTCAACAAATCTTTCATTTGACCACATCAACGTGCTTCTCTTCCGCTGCCTCTAGATAGAAACGGGTAAGTCTGACAGCTACCATATCTGAGAATGAATTGTTTGTTTTTTAATATATATTCATGGAAAAACATCTCGTTGCTGGACATCACGACTAACATTAGAAAATGGCCCAAAATGTAGAAAATTATTATAATTATTTTTTTTTAATTGCATTAACTTGAGAACGGCTGGACTTAGGAAAAAAGTTTTTATATGCAATATTTTTGGAAATTATGCGTAAAATCCAAATAAATTACTATTTTACTAAAAAATATGCAATTTCACCAATTTGTAAAAACCAACAAAAATTTCAAAAATTATAAATTTTTTTTTAAGAAAGTTACCAGCATACACTCTTCACCAAATATTAGGGCATTTTATCAGTTTTCTTGCAAAAAAAAATTATAAAGATCGAAGGGGGGGTGTTTTGAGATAATCATCGTTTTACGTTTTTTAAATACTAATTTACTAAGTTTTTCTTTCAGTGTATTTTTTTCCGCAAAGATAATTTAACTACCTAAAACTTTTTCTCATATGCCATTTTGATCAGATCAATAATTTTCGAGCTATGATTTTTTGAAAAAAAAAATAATCCATTTTTTATACGCCCTTTTCAAAAGTTATTCTGGAGGAAAAAATCATATTTAAATGAAAAATGCAACCATTAGTAGCAGCGAACACGTGAGCAATGTTTCATTCAAATCAGAAGGGGTCGAGGCAAAATTGACATTTTTTTTAACGATTTGAGCTAGAAATGCTCAGGCGTGATCAGAGATGTTATGCCTCAGAACATCCCGGCGGCGCCGACTGGGATTGAACCCAGGCCTGCTGGGGTGAGAGGTAATCAAGTTTACCACTACACCACCGGCACCGCTGAGAGAGAAAGTGATAGTTAGCTTTACTTTTCCAGATTTTTGTGCTTTCAATGACGATGATGGCTTCGTTCAAGATGAAATTCAATATGGGAGGTATTCTCAAATTGAAAATCGTTCTATTGCTCTTAGTCCGTTTTGCTGAACGTTCTAGTTACACACATTCAACTGCTTGCGCAACTCACTACCCAATCAGAATGTTGTGTATGCGTAAATAAACCGTTCACCTCTATCGCACCTCTCATTTCCTTACCCTTCTCTTACCCGCAGTTTACCACTTACTGGCTTTTCCCAAAAAGTCAGCAAGTGAGAACACCTCTATATCTAATTTCATCTTGGCTTCATTTTTGTGTGAATGCAAACCATTTAACGAGCCGAGTTAGTTGTGCGAGCAGAAATGCTAACAGATTGTTTGGATGCGGTTTTCAACAAATTCAGTTTTTGATAAATTTTCGGCCTTTTTGGTTTTTAGCCTTTCTGGCTTTCGGCCTTTTTGGTTTTCGGTCTTCTGTACGGGTCCCTCCAGAATGGGACACGAATCAAGGAATGTGTTTGCAGCTGAATTATTAACGAAAGAGAAAGTCGATGAAGAGATTCGATAAAAGTCACTTACACCCCTTTCTTTATAACCCCCTCATATGCGATTATGGGTATATTATCGTAACCTTGTAATCATACTTACCAATAAAGAACGAGCAACTCCGCACCCCAGTGTACCGGCACCAAGCAGAAGATACTTCATTTGATTTATTATCTCTATATTTAGGCTAGGAAGCAGTCTCCACTTCATTAATGTAAGGTTCAAAGATATTGATTTTTCAGCTAAGCTGCAATGCAAAAATAAACAAATAATAAAATAAAATAAATGTAACTAGTTTGCTTCAACCGTAATTTATAGCTACGTTCAGACTATAGCTGATATCACGTAACATAGTCTATCGTCCAATGAGCATTTTCAAATTTTCACCGGAAATCATATGTATGACTTTGGATATCAAGTCGGAGTTTGAACGTAGTATTAATTTCAGGTATAGTCTGAACGTGATACGTGATACGATACGTTCAGACTATAGCTGATGTTATAATACTACGTTCAGACTCCGACTTGTCATACATATGATTACGTGGTCGGCAATGAGCACTCATACGACAAATTTTCTTTGCAAATATCACATGTATGAGTATTGTTAAATTCTCATCTGGTGACGGTGGTAGCGTGCCGCTCATAAGCGCGCTGTAACCCGACCCATACACAGTGTTTTATGGCAGAGGCTTGAGAAGCAAATCCTGGAACAAAAAGCCGCCGTGATTTAAATCAATGGGCGCAGTCTCACAGCCGTAAAAAGGAGAATAAATCCCATTTTGAAACATTATCCTGCCACACATAATATTACCAAGGTTGCAAATACTCACTTCAGATAAAAAAAATGTTTTTCGGAATTATTATATCATTCGATGTTATGTTGATCTTTTTTTTTATTTATAAGATACAAAAGGCTGCAAAGTATGTGTTTGACACATAAAACCTGAGGGTCGCAATCAGCAATTTTAACTCGATTACTCAGTGATCATGAAATGGCCGATTATGACTATTAGAAAGCAAAATTTACAGGTTTTATGTGCCCAATGCTTACTATGTAATCTCATTGTAACTTACAAGTAAAACATGTGATCTTAACTAATTTTGATTTCATTATTCCGAAATACATGGAAATGAAAATTTGCAACCTTGTGTATCACATTTAATACCAAGATAATCTATGTTAGGTGATATCAGCTTATAGTCTGTAACTAGCAACATACATTTCAGGGTCCATAACTTTGGACATGTCAGCCAATTGTGGTACTAGCTTTCCGTTTTTATTCGCTTCCCAACCAGTCCAGAGGATATGTTCTATGTTGGTTTCCGTAGAAGGTATTATTATGAGCAGGACAACACTGGTCTGTAGCTTTTGTCGAAGACAGATGCATTTGATTTCTTTGTTTGCTAGTAGTGGACTGGAAGTAATTAATCTTGTGACTATTATTTTATTGACTTTTCGAAACAAAAATACTTACCATACATATACCAAATAACCCAATAACTGTCGTAGTAACCAACAAGGATTTTGATCAACAGAGCGATCATCACAACAAATGTAAGTCGAAGTTAGATCGAGGTCTTTGAAATTTTCGTCTTTTTTATCATGATGAATAAGATCAGATAATTTCAATATGATATCTGATTTTGAATCGAAAATAAATACTGGTTCAGAAAATTTGTTTCGAAAAGTACATAACTGTAATTCAAATTTTTCAAGTAAGTCTTGCGAGAAAATCGAAGATACAGATTTGCATTCACTTCGACATTTATATATTATATCTCGAAAAGCTGGAAAAGCAAACCAGTAGTAATATTTATGTGCTTTAAAATCCTGAAATATTATATAATTAATTTTTGAAACAACAATTAAAACTAAAATAATTTACCGCAAACGAAAACAGTAGAAAGAAAAACAGCTCGGAACTGCTTTCAAGTTTATCCTTTGAAAGTAATTGGTTGAAATAATCATCACTTAAGCGTTTTATAAGATCATTCTTATCTTTGCTTCTAAACTCCTCAATAGTGTTTGTATTCAAAAGAATACCTTTACATTTGGAATTTTTCGACGAGGTTGATAATTCCCTGCATATAAAAAAATATGAATAAGATTTTATTGGAGAGTTTACAAATCTAGAAGAAATTTTCTAAACAATATTTTCAAGAGAGATGTTTCACTACGTATCTATTTGGTTTTATTATTTATAAGGATGGCTACTCATTCAAATAGAAAAAAAAAATGTATTCAAAATTTAATTTGCATTTATACTAACTTTTTTTTGCTAAAACATTTGTTTTCGAGTTTAATGTTTTTATAATTCATTACATACATGTTTTGAAAATTTCTTTTCGGGGTAGGAATATTAGTTTCAGTGCTTACCTATTAAATGCAGTACAGTCTACTTCTATGAGCAATCTCGAGTACTCAGTATAATTCTTTTCGGCGTACACTTCCTTCGGCGAATCCTGGAGTTTATCAATATTTAGTTTAATGTCTGCCAATTTATACCAAAAGCTTTGATGAACAAACGATTTTGGTGGCACAAATTTCAACTGCCTTTCTTTGCCGGACTCCATTATTGTTGACGGGATCTTATTTTATTTTGTGCACACACGCTAACTTGAAAGTCCTCATTAATGAGTAAAAAAGACCCATTTTGAAGAAAAGTGGCTTAACTCATTAATGATAAAACAATTTTACCCATTAAAGAGTATCTGTTACCCATTAATGATTAACAATTACTCATTAATGGATAAAACATTAACTCATTTAATGAGTTAAGCCACTTTTCTTCAAAATGGGTCTTTTTCAACCATTAATGGGTACTTCCAAGTTAGCGTGCAGGATCAACACGCTAACTTGAAAGTACTCATTAATGAGTAAAAATGACCCATTTTGAAGAAAAGTGGCTTAACTCATTAATGATTAAACAATTTTACCCATTAATGAGTATCTGTTACCCATTAATGATTAACAATTACTGATTAATAGGTAACAGATACTCATTAATGGGTAAAAAATTTACTCATTTAATGAGTTAAGTCACTTTTCTTCAAAATGGGTCTTTTTCAACCATTAATGGGTACTTTCAAGTTAGCGTGAAGGTAAAGCCCTACCAGTAAAAGTATGGACCATGGTGGGTATATAAATGGTGATACCCACACGGTGTTTCGTGAAAACCCATTAATGGGTAAAAAATACCCATTTTCAAACCATGTATGCAGCTGTCAAAAAATGGGGGAATTTTGAAATCATAAAATGGGTGAAAAATTCCCATTTAAAGAATCAGTTCATGGCTGAATAATGGGTATATTTTTTACCCATTAATGGGTGAAAAAACACTTCGAAATTTTATCGTCTCATTTCCGTCACCGACTCAACAGTTACTGTCCGCAGCATATTTCAGTGCTAACATTTGAAAACGGCACAAAAGCCATTTGTAAACAAATGGTTTGTGGGCCCTTTACTCACTACTTGAAGTACACCCACGCGACACAACAGCAACATCGGGTAGGGGAAATTTTCCCCTTCCTGACGATGCTGTTGGTTTGCGTGGGCGTTCTTCGGGTAGCGAGTAAAGGGCCCACAAACCATTTGTTTACAAATGGCTTTTGCGCCGTTTTCAAATGTTAGCACTGATTTGGCGAAAATAGACGATCTCTGGAAAACGTTAGAATCCAAAACATTGGAGAGGCTTACGGATAAGTCAATACATATTATCCAATATGGTATAATAATATTTCGCGTAAAATTTGAGCGGAACACCTGCATTTATTTTCAATGTTTAAGAAAGTTTTTTTATATCAACGAGCGCTTGCATCCTCCATTTGTAAAAATGGGTATTTTTTCACCCATTTTACGGTAAACATAATATAAGAAAATGGGTGAAAAAACACCAATTTATTGACAGACCACCCATTTACCCATTTATGAGTAAACCATAGTTTACCCATTAAATGAGGAGGAGCACTTTTAGCGGTAATGGGTATTTTTATACCCATTAATGGGTTTTCGCGAAACACCGTGCGGGACGGGACTTGACAATCGAGAACACTCTTCTTAATGTTTTTGAAGAATACCCTTCGGAAAGTTGTGTGTGGTGTTTGACGGAGTTGACCAATGATGCCAGGAATGTAAAATATTATTCTATTTTAATTTGGATTTTATTCGGAGTTTCTACCGCAGTTTAGCAGCTTGTACATCATTTTTGTTCAACACAATAAAAACAACCATAAACCAACAACAATATCCATTGCTTAAAACAGGCAGTGCACTGGATTTTTCAACTTTCCTTTCGCAAATATAAACAATTAACAACGCCACTGACGTCAACATTGACTCCGGCATCACTGCCAGCCAGATTGATACGATCCCTGTTTCCTTTTTATTCCACGATTGCTACTGTCAAATCGACCAATCAGAAACTGGCTCGGATTTGACAGAAAATTGGCTCGAAATCGCTACCCGATTGTCAAGTCCCGTCCCAGGGTGATCCAGCTTTGTCACTATATAGGCGAGGAGGTCGCGGGGGGGAAAAATGTGGTTTTAGAACAAATTGTAAACAAACTCGGTCGCTGTCCGATACAAAAATCCAACATGGCTGAATCACGAATTTGACACATTAGAACACCTATATGTAGCCACCTTGGTATGGACGTCTGTCAAAAGTTGTTCCAATCGAACCGTCAGAATCAGCTGGGTGGCATGCCACCATGTTATTGAAACTAACATCTGAAACGTCACAATTCAAATGTGAACTGCAAAAATGGCGTGACTGAAATTGTCTTATTTTTATCAAATGAAATTATTTTCCCTTTTATGCCATATAAATGGTTGACTTCGTGGTAGAAAATCATAAAATAATATTTTATGAGTTCTAAGTTTATTTTTCACAAAATGTAAGCAAAAATATTAAGAATATCTAAAATATCAGTCACGCCTTTTTTGAAATTCTGGCTTGAATCTTCGATTTGTTAACAAATTATGAGCTGTCAGTGGGGCCCACGATTCGCGGGCCCACAGCGATGTTAGCTCTTTTCAAGGCAAGGCAAACAAGATAGGGCTGCCACCCAGCTGGTCAGAATGCACCGCTTTGCTCGATTGGAACCTCTTAGGTCAAACGTGAACCAGCTCCTGATTGGCCGATTTCATGTGCGTAAGATAGAGATAGAGACAGATAAAGATAGAGATAGAGATAGAAATAAAAGAGGAAGAAGCCAATTGTCACCTCTTCCTCAAGGCCCACGCACATTAGATCCGGATCGGACGCGTTGCGGCAAAGTGACAGCTAAACTTATTGTCTAACTGTCAAATTTACGTCAACGCAACGCAAACGGATCTAATGTGGGTGGACCTTTAGGGAACAGCTTTTTTTCTAAGAGGAAGAGGTGACAATTGGCTTCTTCCTCTTTTATTTCTATCTCTATCTCTATCTTTATGTGTCTCTACTGACTGGCATTTTTTCCAAGTCCAGGATTTTGCTTACTGAGTGGCTTTTACTCAGATTGACATTTCTCGTTTACTCAATTTTTGACAACTCGATACATCGGACGAAAGTGAGTATACGATCGACTCACCTGGTGAGTAAGCAGAAGTTAGCGTGTACCCAAAAATGGTAAACTGTGTTGGGAACAAGGTTGGGAGTTAAAAATTGACAAATGAACAACATCCCCACCATGGTGGGTATATAAATGGTGATACAGCTTTGTCACTAAATAGGCGAGGAGGTCGCGAGGGGGAAAAGTGCGGTTTTAGAGCAAATTGTAAACAAACTCGGTCGCTGTTCCATACAAAAATCCAACATGGCTGAATCATGAATTTGACACATTAGAACACCTATATGTAGTCACCTTGATCCCCACCAACCATTTCGTTAATTTTCTTTAACTTCCTACACGCTATAGATCAGTGCACGGTCGCTAACCTCACTTTTTGCTCCCTATCATTTTGCTTCTGAGTAAAAGAGATAGCAACGAATGGGAGTCAAAACAAACCACCCAAAACTGTCAAAACTTACGGGTGAGAGAAGAGTGCGGCAAATCTTCGTGAACTGATCAATTGTCGGGCCGCCACTAAACCGGACCACGCTAGCGCGACTTGCGACCCGACGTTCAGTCGCGACAATGTGGTTTGACGTGTTAATGTCAAAGTTCTGTCATTACTGTTGTCACCAGGTGGATTTGCAAATAAATAATGTTTTTTTTTGTTAGCTTGATCCCATCGCACAAGATTTTTGATTAAAAATTGTCCTCTATTTAATATGAAGCCAAACACAAAATCTAACATAATTATTCAGAATATTCGTGGTCAACACGCCAGCAGTAACACGGTTTATCATGCGCTTTACGGCCATTATTTTCTCGGGATATCGAAGAAGGATCTTAGTATCATTTATGGAAAATGCCGATCAACTATTTACGAGTGGTTCTTCAAGTACGAGCGAGATGGAATTTTCCGAAGGAAGCAGCGCCTGCAAGTGTTTAAGAAATTCAGCACCGATATGCGTGATTGGCTTGTCAACCTATATCAAAACGAGCCTTTCTTGTTTTTGGACGAAGCGAAACAGCGATTCCAACAGCGATTTCTGCTATCGATAAGTGTGTCATCTATTTGCACAATATTGCATGAATCTGGATTGACCTGGAAGACTATCGAAAGAAGGGCTATCCAGATCAGAGAGGATGAGATAGTCCGGTTTGTTAAGGAAATGCTTGCAGTTCCATGGGACTTGTTTAACCTGGTTTTCCTAGACGAGGTTAGTATTGACAATAAGGATATGCTGCGCAAAAAAGGCTACGGAGTTGTTGGCCAGAAACTTATTTATCGCGGGGAATTCTGTAGAAAGCCTAGGGTTTCTTTCTTATGTTTTCTAGGAATCAATGGTATGCTAGATAGTTTCTGGACGGAAGGAACATTCAACCAGCATAAATTTTTCAGATGTTGTCGAAACTTTGCTATAAATAATCCCCATGTACAACGGTATCCTGGGTTTCACTCTATTTGGGTTTTGGATGGTGCTCGCATCCATTGCGACGCCAATATCATAAGATATTTTCGCTCTATTGGCATCATACCGATATTTCTACCACCATATTGCCCATTTTTTAACCCTATAGAGATTATCTTTGGCTTAATTAAGGCGTACCTTAGAAGGAATTACCGAGAGACTGGCTCCATTTTGAAAGAAGTTTGTGCAGCTATGAGTGCATTCAAAGTCTATGAGTGTAAGCAGATATTCGAATACTGTGGATACTTACCTGGGGGCGTTTTTCTTGCAGAAAAAGGTCTGGACCAAGACCCTAAATATATGGATTTCAATATTATTCCTGAATGAAAGTCATGAGCAGTCGTATATTTGATGAATAAAAGGAATGTTTAAAACAGTTGCATTGTTATATTTGTTATATTTTGATAAAAAAAAAGAGTACATGTGATAATTCCACACAACGGGCTTATTTTCATAATCATCCCGCATGATCCACATCCTCGCAATCAGTCACCTTCTCGGCTATCTCACGACTAAGGTTTGATTCTTCCGGTCGCGTAACCGATTCCATCGCTGTAAATAGTTCAGAATTCACCGATCCTCTGGCGGACATGCTGTCTATTTTCTGTTTCATTCCTTGCAAGATATTAAGAGCCATGTTTAAGTCATTCGAAAGATCAGTCATATCACGGCACCATGCATCATTATTTGTTTGGGCAGCAACCATACTCCGATGAACAGATTGTAGTCGAGCCGCTTCCGAGACACCAGTCCAGCGAAAGTATTTGGACAACTCGATAGGAGGAGATTCAGCTTGCAACATTCGATCACGGTTGTGGGCTGGAGCTGAATTGATCAAGTTTGCCCACAGCATCCAGGAACTGAAGTGTCCCTCAATGTGGGAATGACTGCTTCGTAGCTCACTAGCTAATACTGAGTCATCCCTAGTTGAATGCGCCCCTGAGCGGTCAGGGTTTCGAGGTGCAATCAATCTTCGCATTACTAATTGATACTGACCTAATGATTCAATATTCGTGGAATAAGCATACACGAATATCTTAATAGATTTGCTCCTCCATGACACCAGCAGCCGTGGTGTGATACGTGATGTTGCATAGATCTTTTTCTTCACCGTATCTTGTAGCGAAACGAATTTATCGATGTCCTCAAATTCTGGATCTTGTTTTTCCGACCAGTGAGGAATTTCTTCTTCGAAGATCACCTGTCGACGTACCAGTTTGCAAGCTTGTTTCCAAATGCATTGAAGTATCTCCTCGAGTGAATTCCCATTCACAAGTGTTTGGGTTACTTCCTTTGGCCGCAGCTGGCTTTTATTTATATAAACGCTGAACATAGATCCCATTGAAGCAGAATTTTGACTGCACTCCTTCATCATCCGATCCAGAAAACTCAATGTCAAAGTTCATTTCCTGAGTCGCTGTCTGATGTACTGATGGCATGTCCGTATCGTCAACATTTCCACCAGCACTGGAGTCGATGTTGCTGGTACCTTCGAGTGGGTTGCCGTCTTGATAACCATCTTCTTCCTCAAGGTATTCTTCCGGTCCGTACGAACTGTAAAAATAAACCCTACATTAAGATAAACTAATTGTCTTAAATTTCATAGTAAATTTTTAATAAACTTACCCGTCCATTTTCACCGGATAAAAACAATAACAAGGAGCAAATTGACAAAACTGATTTCAGACTGTGAAGAATAATTGACAACAAAAACAACACGCTAATCAGAAGTACCTCACAATACTTACGTTTTACGCACACTCAAAGAAAAAAAACACTTTCGATAAAAAGGGAGCTTATTACATGGAATATAAGATGTTTTAAACATTAGAATGGTGAATTAAATACTTTGAAATGTCAACAGACTAAATTGATGTGTCTAGATTAGCTGATAATGTTTTCTTACGCGTTTAGATTCTGAATTTTATTTACTGTAATGTGAGAAGTTTTTTTAGTGTGCGTTTCGCAAGTTAAATAGGAATTCGGGTAGTTGCGCCCTCCTTCTGAATTTCTATCGAATAGACTTGTCGGGCCGCCACTAAACCGGACCACGCTAGCGCGACTTGCGACCCGACGTTCAGTCGCGACAATGTGGTTTGACGTGTTAATGTCAAAGTTCTGTCATTACTGTTGTCACCAGGTGGATTTGCAAATAAATAATGTTTTTTTTGTTAGCTTGATCCCATCGCACAAGATTTTTGATTAAAAATTGTCCTCTATTTAATATGAAGCCAAACACAAAATCTAACATAATTATTCAGAATATTCGTGGTCAACACGCCAGCAGTAACACGGTTTATCATGCGCTTTACGGCCATTATTTTCTCGGGATATCGAAGAAGGATCTTAGTATCATTTATGGAAAATGCCGATCAACTATTTACGAGTGGTTCTTCAAGTACGAGCGAGATGGAATTTTCCGAAGGAAGCAGCGCCTGCAAGTGTTTAAGAAATTCAGCACCGATATGCGTGATTGGCTTGTCAACCTATATCAAAACGAGCCTTTCTTGTTTTTGGACGAAGCGAAACAGCGATTCCAACAGCGATTTCTGCTATCGATAAGTGTGTCATCTATTTGCACAATATTGCATGAATCTGGATTGACCTGGAAGACTATCGAAAGAAGGGCTATCCAGATCAGAGAGGATGAGATAGTCCGGTTTGTTAAGGAAATGCTTGCAGTTCCATGGGACTTGTTTAACCTGGTTTTCCTAGACGAGGTTAGTATTGACAATAAGGATATGCTGCGCAAAAAAGGCTACGGAGTTGTTGGCCAGAAACTTATTTATCGCGGGGAATTCTGTAGAAAGCCTAGGGTTTCTTTCTTATGTTTTCTAGGAATCAATGGTATGCTAGATAGTTTCTGGACGGAAGGAACATTCAACCAGCATAAATTTTTCAGATGTTGTCGAAACTTTGCTATAAATAATCCCCATGTACAACGGTATCCTGGGTTTCACTCTATTTGGGTTTTGGATGGTGCTCGCATCCATTGCGACGCCAATATCATAAGATATTTTCGCTCTATTGGCATCATACCGATATTTCTACCACCATATTGCCCATTTTTTAACCCTATAGAGATTATCTTTGGCTTAATTAAGGCGTACCTTAGAAGGAATTACCGAGAGACTGGCTCCATTTTGAAAGAAGTTTGTGCAGCTATGAGTGCATTCAAAGTCTATGAGTGTAAGCAGATATTCGAATACTGTGGATACTTACCTGGGGGCGTTTTTCTTGCAGAAAAAGGTCTGGACCAAGACCCTAAATATATGGATTTCAATATTATTCCTGAATGAAAGTCATGAGCAGTCGTATATTTGATGAATAAAAGGAATGTTTAAAACAGTTGCATTGTTATATTTGTTATATTTTGATAAAAAAAAAAGAGTACATGTGATAATTCCACACAACGGGCTTATTTTCATAATCATCCCGCATGATCCACATCCTCGCAATCAGTCACCTTCTCGGCTATCTCACGACTAAGGTTTGATTCTTCCGGTCGCGTAACCGATTCCATCGCTGTAAATAGTTCAGAATTCACCGATCCTCTGGCGGACATGCTGTCTATTTTCTGTTTCATTCCTTGCAAGATATTAAGAGCCATGTTTAAGTCATTCGAAAGATCAGTCATATCACGGCACCATGCATCATTATTTGTTTGGGCAGCAACCATACTCCGATGAACAGATTGTAGTCGAGCCGCTTCCGAGACACCAGTCCAGCGAAAGTATTTGGACAACTCGATAGGAGGAGATTCAGCTTGCAACATTCGATCACGGTTGTGGGCTGGAGCTGAATTGATCAAGTTTGCCCACAGCATCCAGGAACTGAAGTGTCCCTCAATGTGGGAATGACTGCTTCGTAGCTCACTAGCTAATACTGAGTCATCCCTAGTTGAATGCGCCCCTGAGCGGTCAGGGTTTTGAGGTGCAATCAATCTTCGCATTACTAATTGATACTGACCTAATGATTCAATATTCGTGGAATAAGCATACACGAATATCTTAATAGATTTGCTCCTCCATGACACCAGCAGCCGTGGTGTGATACGTGATGTTGCATAGATCTTTTTCTTCACCGTATCTTGTAGCGAAACGAATTTATCGATGTCCTCAAATTCTGGATCTTGTTTTTCCGACCAGTGAGGAATTTCTTCTTCGAAGATCACCTGTCGACGTACCAGTTTGCAAGCTTGTTTCCAAATGCATTGAAGTATCTCCTCGAGTGAATTCCCATTCACAAGTGTTTGGGTTACTTCCTTTGGCCGCAGCTGGCTTTTATTTATATAAACGCTGAACATAGATCCCATTGAAGCAGAATTTTGACTGCACTCCTTCATCATCCGATCCAGAAAACTCAATGTCAAAGTTCATTTCCTGAGTCGCTGTCTGATGTACTGATGGCATGTCCGTATCGTCAACATTTCCACCAGCACTGGAGTCGATGTTGCTGGTACCTTCGAGTGGGTTGCCGTCTTGATAACCATCTTCTTCCTCAAGGTATTCTTCCGGTCCGTACGAACTGTAAAAATAAACCCTACATTAAGATAAACTAATTGTCTTAAATTTCATAGTAAATTTTTAATAAACTTACCCGTCCATTTTCACCGGATAAAAACAATAACAAGGAGCAAATTGACAAAACTGATTTCAGACTGTGAAGAATAATTGACAACAAAAACAACACGCTAATCAGAAGTACCTCACAATACTTACGTTTTACGCACACTCAAAGAAAAAAAACACTTTCGATAAAAAGGGAGCTTATTACATGGAATATAAGATGTTTTAAACATTAGAATGGTGAATTAAATACTTTGAAATGTCAACAGACTAAATTGATGTGTCTAGATTAGCTGATAATGTTTTCTTACGCGTTTAGATTCTGAATTTTATTTACTGTAATGTGAGAAGTTTTTTTAGTGTGCGTTTCGCAAGTTAAATAGGAATTCGGGTAGTTGCGCCCTCCTTCTGAATTTCTATCGAATAGACAATATATAGAGAAGTTTAGCGAGATGGAAATGGCAGAATTATTCCACAAGAGTTTGCCTTATTTGGAAATAATTCTTAGTTTGGGTGAGGCTTCCAAGCAGTACATATAATTAGAGGATATTCTTAGTAGGGTTAACTACCCCCTTTCCGGTCTATTAAGCAAAACACGCACTTAGTCTTTCTTAATCTAGCACAGTTTAGCATCAAACGAAATGTTATTCTTACTGATGGCTTCCAAATTTATTTACCTTTCTGTACGTACCGTAAGATTTAATAAAGAGAAATCGTTGAGATATTGTCAAAAGTCTAACACTGCTTCTTGATGCCAAACTCGGCCT